TTCATGGACTGTTATGTTTCTTTGAAAATCACTGGCATTTGTTGACAGCAAGAGTGAGATAGTGAATGAGGGTGTTTCTTTGAAAATTATCACTAGTGTGATGCTGAATACAGATCAGAACTGAAGTGTATAATAGACAAAGTAACTAAGAAAGGTACAAGCAGAATAATAAGATTTAGTTTTATGATAATTCTTATATTATTTTACAATTGTAAATATTGTTAAGTACATGTGACATTTGACATCCATATGGAGTTGTAATCGCCATATGTTAGTGTCAAATTATTGTATATTTGTGGTTAGTAGTCATTTCACAACTGAAATTGACCTATGAAACAGTAATTTTTTTTTTTTTTAAAGATTAAGCTGTGCATAATTTTTTTTTTTTTTTTTTTAGAAAAATAAATGTATATTATACATGGGGAATTAGAGTAATTTAGATGAGTGTTTTTGGTGGTGCCTTGAAAGATGAATTTTTTTTCTTTCTAATTATACATAAACCAGATGGTTTGCCATGTCTTTGCAAAATTGAATGATATTGTTTTTTTTTTTTTTTTTTTTTCATGGTTCCCTCGACCAAAATCAAAACTCAAGCCATTTTGGTAATCTGCAAAAGTCTAATGAGGGGTTAATGGTGAAAACAATGTTTCACATACAAATGATTCATAATTTCATAAAATGTATTATGGACATTCAAATCCAAATTTGAATTTTTTGGTAGTAAGAGGAGCCTGGAGAAAGGCTGAAAAATAAAACTGTAGTTACTGAAATTTTATCTATTTTAAAAAAAAAAAAAAAATCTCATTTTTAAGGTGTTTATTTAAAGAAATGCAAGGTAGCCCCAAACTTGTGTGTATATACAATAAATAAAAATATATAAAATCTTTAAAATATGTACATTTACAGTAAATGTTAATATAAATCCTAAAAAATGAAATATGAAAACATCTGTGACTCTGTGTTGTTGTCTTATTTAGGTCTTTAGGAGCTCAATATTGGCATTTTTCATGGTGGTTCCAATATCTACCATTTGGCATTGTTGTCAGTGTCACTCATGATTCATGCAAAATTGAAATTTAGTTTAGGCATATGCATGGTATATGTCTGCTGATTACCTACTCTCTCTGATTCTCATTCATTTGTGACTTTATATTTTGCCCTATTGGCTCCTAAGAAAATATCTAGTGCAAATGTTAAGTGTCATGCTATAACACTGGACAATAAACTTACTATTATAAAATGCCATGAAAAAGGTGAAAAGTTTATTGATTGCTCAATCTTTTGGAATGAGTCCAACAACTGTATTGACAATTGTTCACAATAAGTATGAGATTTTGGCACATTAAATCTGATGCCCCAGGGATGAAGAATACTGTTATCAATAAGAAAAGAGGAAAAATCTTTGAAGAGATGAACAGCTTCTTTCTCTTTGGATTGATAGGTTGAATCATCAGCATGCTGCTATTAGTCAAGAAATCATTCAAGCGAAAGTATTGTCTTTGAGGACCTGAAGAAAAATACTAAGATCAGAAAGATGTAGAGTTTAAAGTGAATCAAGGCTGGTTTATGAGATTTAAAGAAAAAAGAAATTATCACTCTATTAAAAAGCAAAGTGAAAGTGCATCAGCTGATTTTCCTAAAGCATTGGCTAAGATCATCGAAGAAAATGGGTTTTTTCTTGAACAGATTTTTAACATTGATGAAACTGGATTATATTGAAAAAAAAATTGCCAGACCATTCTTTCATTGCTAATACTAAGCATAAGGCTATATCGCTGATAAATTATTTTATTCAAAATACTGTACATATATATCATAAATACTGTAATATGCAATGGGGAGTACTTATTTGCAATTATTTTGACTTAATTGGTTCCAGAGGTCACGACTTAATGATGTGTGTGTGTGTGTATATATATATATATATATATATATATATATATATATATATACCGATTTTAAACTGAATTTATGGGTTTTATGTATGTGTCTGAAGTTATATGAATGTTTTATTTCCAAAACTAGAAAGAATCAATATTAGTTCAAATCCTCCGTGTTCCTGATCAAACCAAACTCGTAAATAATTAAATTGGTTATACTATTACATGCCTATCTAAATGGCTTACGTTACACCTGCCCAACTATAGCTCCATTAGGACTCGTTTAAACACAAATCCTACCAAACTCCATCTGAAACGTACTATTAGAAAATACAAGTTTAATAGCCTCATTCACATGTAAAAAAAAAAAAAAAAAAAGATTAAAAATAATAAGAGCTAAAAAAAATAATAAAAATAATAAAAAGGAAAAGCCAACTCTCGATAACATTAATTATGAACATGATCACAATGTGCTGGCCATGTTTGGAAAAAACTTTCCTATAAGATACATACATAAAAAAACCCACACAGTCAATTAAAAATAAAAATTGCCCTTGATAATGGCAAAAAGCATAGGTGAAAGCGCTTCAATATGCAGAACTTTTGGACAGTTTTTACATGCTTTGTGTCCAGAAAAAAAGACATTTGTATGAACACAAAAGTTTTGACACAGTACCTTGTCAGTTGTCTTTTAACAAAACATGTATAAAAGAGGGATTACACACTATATATATATATACATACACACACACTGCTTATTGTGTTGTCTGAAGGCACTCTGGTCTGATAGGTGCCAGGTGAGTCTCTGTGAGCGTGGCATATCCTATGTAAGACATTTTTTTTTTTTTTATTTACAGAGGAACATTCTCCAAGTCAGCAAGTATATTCATACAAATGTTGGTCTTATATAGGGGTTGGAAATTTGGGATATGTTATTTTTAATATCTAGGTTTATAGTTTTGAATTTTTTGTAGTAAATAACAAATCTTATGTATTTGTTTTTTATTGACTGGTTTTATATATCTGTATTAGGAGGTACGGCATAGTGGCTCTGATTGAGGAATTGGAGAGTCGAGTTTGAATTCCAGTCGAATCCATTACATTCACTTTCATGCTAATACCCTTCTTCCCACGCTATGGGTAAGTAGCAGGACAGACCATGTTCTATAGCTTTGGATGGCAACTGGTCTATCGCAGAAAGAAATGGCAACCTACTGCAGGAAAAAAATCTGCTTTGTCAGTCATGTATCGAAAGATACATTATTGCCTGAGCGTGTATCAGGCATGGCACATAACTAACTGATACTTTTTGTTCCAGTTTCATTGTTGTTGTAATTGTGGTGCATTTGATTTTGGTAATATATGTTAATGGCATTGTCAATATGTTTGACAGAAATTTGATTTGTTTGTTGATTATATAATTAGGGTACCCCTTATTGATGAGTGTTTGTTTTATATTATTTAATTCTTAAGGAATATTATTTTGAATGAGTTTAACTTTTTGGATTAGGTTATTAATGCCAGTAGTTTTGTTTTTCAGGGCATTTGTTGTTGTAGTTTAAAAAGCAAGAGTTAGAACTAGAATCCATTTTATATGGAAACTACATCTTTGTGTATAAAAAAAAAAAAAAAAAAAAGTCCACTAATTCTAACTCTTGCCTCTTACAAAGAAAGTTTCTCTGTAAATAATAATAAAAAAGAAAAAGTATCTTATATATGTCACAACCCCGCTTGCAGAGACTCACCTGCCACCTATCAAACAACACATTAATAATCAACATAAGGATCATAGTAATATTATTAGACAGCTGCTCACAAACAATACCAAAATACAAGCAAAATCTCACACACACACACTTTTTTTTTTTTTTTTTTTTTTTTTTTTATTATTGTTTTAAGGTATACTTATAATTATGATTTAGAATGCTCAATCTCAGGGATAGAGTATATCTAAATATAAAAGTGTACATTGAAGTCAACACCCAGAGGTGACAGTCTGTTTCATGCTAAACACAATTGTCAGGCCTAACACTTCTGGGTGTTAACTTTCATGTCAGCTTGTGTGTGTGTTCATTTGAAAGACTGTTTTTGAAGCCAAAATTGTTGGATTTTCAGCTAGAAGAAGGCATTTAGAGCAAGTTGGCTTTGTGGTAGTGTTCAATATCAAAGATAGGGATAGTGTTAATAGAATTAGTTTGAAAAAAACTTTTTCACTTCTGTTTATGTCAAAGTTTTGTGGTCACATCTATGTAACCATGAAACTTCAAAGTAAACATTCTTTGCTTGTCTTGTACATTCTTTGCTTGTCTTGTACATTCTGAAATAAAGAAATATTTGGAATATATTTCATTTGCACACAGACATCACTGCTGTGCACTTGAAAATCTAGAACTTTTAAAAATTCCTTTCCATTTATTTGTTACACATTTTCAGAGGTTGTTTGTTTAAAGAATGTTCAGATTGCATATAAATCTTAATTTGAATGTAAATTTAGTGCTTTAATTTCCACTGTTTATCTGATAAAGTTTCTTCTTTGGAGAGCAATGAATTAACAGGCCAATAATGTATCTCCTTAAAATGTATTCATGCTTAATCTTTTGCTTATACAATGAGGAACACTCTTCATGTAAATACATTAATATACTATACAACTTTTGTTATGCTAATATTTAATGTTGTAGAAAGTAACTATTAAATAACTAATGAAACTGATCAAATTATTTCTTTTTCTTGATCATTAGTTTCTTCACCATTTTATTTATATTTTTCCAGTTATCACAATTCAATCTTACCAGCACTCAAGAACCTTGACCTGCTCTCTCTACCACCCTCTGCTCACATAGAGGAATTTAAAATTCAGTGTCCTCTTTAAAAATTAAAGTTTAAATACATATCTGTTTGGTTATTTGATATTTCTTTTGATTTAAAAAAAATAAAATAAAATATTGCATTAAAGTATTTGTACTGCTCATTTGATTTCATTTTGGTTGTACCAATTTTAATTTTGTTAAAAATAATTGAGTCAGTATTGATTTGTCATTTGTTTTTGTTAACTTATTGCTTATTATTATATATATATATATATATATATATATATATATTTCTTTACCTTTTTGTCAGATTAAAGTGCAGGGATCAAATGATGAAATGCTCCATACAGCATGTGAATTATTCCTGGGCAAGAATGAAATTGAGATTGAAAATGTTGCCCGAGAGACTCTTGAAGGTCACCAAAGAGCCATTATGGGAAACATGACAGTTGAGGTAGTATTTGGTTGTTGCGTGTTTTTATTTTCAACTGTTTTTGAGTCAAAAGGTCTATATTCTCCATCCATTGTATTGCTTGTTGCTACTGTATGGTTAGAACATACCTGAAGTGTTATACTTGGCACCGACTTTTGATCATTTAGGAAACCAAATTAATGATCTGTTAATGATATATGTAATTAACCATACATTGTGATGAGAGTTGAGTGACTGGTTATAGATAATACTTAAAATGAAAATTTTTCTGGAGTTCTTGTATAAAACTTCAAGTATTGCACTCTTTTCCTCTGAGCTTACTAATCCAACAGTAACAAACTAACACATAATTTAATGTATTATAGAAGGAAACTTTTAAAAGTTCAAACATAAGTATAAATTCACTTCCATATGTTTTGGTTTTATTACAATTCTAATCATTGCTTTTTAAAACGAGAAACATTGCCAAGGTAGTTAAAATAAGTGAGGGGAGGGACATCCTTTTTGACATGCTAGTTTTTTGCAGGCATGCAGGTTAACAAAAAACAAAACTACCAAGCATCTTGCTTCACACTGCCTTCTTTTGGATAAACAGTATGGCTTTTGTTTCTCTAGGTTTACTACTGGTGTGTTTAAGTTACAGGATGTGATGGATAAATTGTTGCTGAAATTATTCAAAAATGAAAATAACACTGAAATCTCATTTTAAGATATATTTACCAAAATTACACGAATATGTTGAAATACTAAAGAGTAAATTTATTTAATAAAATTGCCATTGGCTTCAACCATGCCCTCCAGATGACTGGAATCTCCTGCAACTCTTCTGGACAGTCTCTGTTAAGTTGGTGAATGTTGCCATAATCCTTGCCTTCAGTTCATCTTTTGTTTTACAAGGAGTTTTGTAGGTTTCTTGCTCAACTGCACCCCACACATAATTATCAAAGAGGTTGCAGTCTGGGGTGTTAGGTGGCCAGATGTAAGGGGTGATGTCATCTTGGAAATTGTCCAACAGCCATGATTAGGTTCTCCTGCTTGTGTGACCTGGTACAGAGTCCTGTTGCCAGACATAGGGTCTTCTGGCAGCCACCCTCTTGACCCAGAGCAGCACTACCTCTTCAAGGTACTTCATTATGTAGGCCTCAGTAATGTGTCTGAGGCCCTCACCAACAAATTTGGGAGCTCTTTTCTAAACAGTAATCGAAGTGAATTTTCTGAGCTGCCGTATTTTCGTAATCGCCATTAGACTCTTTCCGAATCCTCTGCGCTGTCCTCAGATTGACATCCAAACACTCTCCAATGTTTGTATTGGAGCTTCCAGTGCAAATGCCAAGCAGTACAACTTAGTTTCCAAATTTCTGGCTTAGTGAATTGCGTCCTCGTGCTCTCTTTCTCTTAGACGTTGCCCAACTGACCCTTCTATACTGTGCTTTTGACAAAAACAAACACTGTGCATGCATGAAATTTAAAATATAAACAGGCGACAATTTACACATCGCACTCTGTATTACCGAATTTGTCTATTGAGCTTTAGATAAGAATGGTGAGGCTAATCTTCCGTCTTCCTGAATCCTATTCTTTTCCGTCCTTTCTTTTCACTAAAGTATTCTCATTCCCTTTCACTCCCGGTAACCCCTTGTGCTTTAGTGGCATTATCACCTTTCTTGTGGTGAAATGATCTTTAAAAAAAAAAAAAAAATGTTTAGAATGATGAATTGGATTAAATAGTATGAATTATTACGTTATTGTATTTTACAAATGTAAATAAAAAGAATCAAAGGATATACAAGAAAAATAAGAACATGATATAAATTATATTCTTATGCAACTGTGTATGTGTAATCAAAATTGTAGCTGATTTATTATTATGCAAATTGTTTGACAACCATTTTCTGTTCACGTTTCCTATTTAGAAAATTTTGCTCTTTGAATGTAAATTTTTATTTTGCACACATCCCACTCAGGACATTTGTACATATTTATTTTTCAGCTTGGCATTTAGATTGCAAATGTATTTACAAACTGACTGTAATATTCTCTTTCCCAGTTCCAGTTTCTCTTATAAATCTTCATCAATAAAAGTGCTTGGCCATTATCTGTTGTTTATTCCTTTAGACCTAATCACTACTGCTGGTTTTTAGCAGTTGCTATGCCAATGCAGTAGCAGCAAATATTCATTTTGTGTATTGTTCTTTTTCCTTTTTTTTTCTTCTTCTTTTAGGCTATAGCTTGGTAGACATAAGCGCTCTCTTTTTCTCTGTCTCTCTCTCATTTTCATTCTCTTTGCAAATCAATATTGTCTTGTGGAATAGTAAGCACTCAGCTGCAGTAGCAACCAGGAGGTTTCTCATCACTTACAGTTATAGCAACAATTTCACTGTTGCACTCCATTTGAAGATCACTTTATGTTGATTTTTTTTTTTTTTTATGCAGATTTTAAAAAAACTAAAGTTGTAAATAAAAGCAAATTTCTGTTAACTTTAAAAACAACCACCCAAGAATGAATGTTATTTTCCATCAGTATTTGTTGCGGTTAATTCCCCTACCATCCTCTAGTATTGAATGGAAACTATTTTCTTAGCCAATTTAACACAAGTACTCACAAGCTTGTTTTAAGTGGAAAGGAGTGTTACTCAAGGCTACTATTATATTTGATACTCCTCTCCCTTGGCCAGTGTGGGTAAAGTGATAAAATTCTGATCAATATTAATGAATACCTATTGCTTTCTATTAGAATTTTTCTTATCCTGCCATCTCTGTTTTCAGTTTTGTGATAAACATTTTTTTCCCCCCACTTAGGAAATCTACAAAGACCGGAAAAAATTTTCCAAAGCTGTATTTGAAGTCGCTTCTTCAGATCTGGTGAATATGGGAATCTATGTGGTTAGCTACACGCTAAAAGATATCAGAGACGATGAGGTAGGCATGGCAACTGAATTTTGCAATCTCTTGACAGTAAACCCTATGTAGTGAAAATGAATGACTTCAAACTCAGTTCCTATTTTTATCTTGTTTATTTGGATTAGGTCAATGATTAGATACTGTTTGGCATGGCTTATATAAGTGTCAATTTACAAAAGAAAATGAATAAAAAAAAAAATCTCTTCATGTAACTTTATTAGGGTTGTCAGAAGCAGAATTTTTTATTTTTGTCCTGTCAGTAATAAAATCTAGATAGCATGTTGACTACCACAGATCAATTACAAAATCTGACTTCAAACACCAATCTTATAATAGCTAACTTAAGCAATAGAAATGTTTGAGTTGATTTATAACTTCAACTGACATCTTAATGTTTTCACTCTAAAAGTATCACTAAATAAACTTTGTTGGTGCCCCAAGTATGAGATAACTTGTGGTTGACATCATAATGAAAATTGTCAATTATGAGTTATTTTGTGATTGGTACTCAATGTGCTAATTATGTAAATTTTAATGTAATTTGGTGTTCATGCCATTTCAAAAAGACCAGGGTACAAATTATACTAGCAGTTCAGATTATAGTTTATTCCCTGTCAAACTGTTCAGTGTAATATTTGCCAATATCTAAAATTGCAGCAATAAGAATCATAAAGTACAATAAATACTATTATGAAAATAAGTCTGTTATATGAAATAATACAGTTATATATAAAAAATGTGTTTGTATGAAAATAAACACACAACTGCTGTTACTTTTGGGCAAGATGTAACATTACTTTCCATTTAGCATGCTTCAGTTTTTACTCAGATATTTCCCAGAGGCTGTCTACATTTATTTAAACTGAGATTTTACTTAAAGCTAATCATTCAATAGAAATTGATATGCTATGAAAGTCATCTTAAGATTTTATTTATTTTACAACTGTTGATTTTACAAAGTTGATTTACTGAATTGTCTTGTCTTTGAAGGGTTACCTTAAGGCACTGGGCCTGAAACGTACTGCTGAAGTAAAGAGAGATGCCAAGATTGGTGAGGCTGAAGCCAAGAGAGATGCAGGAATCAGAGTAGGAATTTTTTCTGATATCAAATGTTGTGGGTGGCTACTCATTTTTTTTGTTTCCTATTACTTCCTTCATATTGAAACTTTGAGAACATTTTAAAATTTTTTACCTTTTTTAACAAGCTTTATAAAAATGTTTTTTTTTTCTCTTCTTTGGTAGGAAGCAAAAGCTGAAGAACAAAGAATGGCTGCTCGCTTAGCTAATGACATTGAGATCGCCAAGGCACAAAGAGATTTTGAGTTGAAAAAGGCTGCTTATGATCAGGAAGTAAATACTAAGAAAGCTATGTCTGACATGGCCTATGAATTGCAGGTAATATTTTCTTGCTTGTATCCTTAATTGATTGACTTGTGATCTTTTCAGATTTACAGCTCCCATGCAGTCAAAGTAATTAAAGATTCTTCCTCCCATGTAAATATTTTACATGACTGAGCTTGCATAAGTATTTTCAAATTAATTTTATCATAATGAAATCTATGTTCACCTTATGCTGTTCAAAATAAATGATGAAAATACATTGACCTTTTCTCAAACTGAATCGGTCTTTGCAACCAAGTTGCCTTTTTTCTTTTTTAGGCTGCAAAAACCAAACAAAAGATCAAGGAAGAAGAAATGCAAGTTCTTGTGGTAGAAAGAACACAACAAATTGCTGTGCAAGAGCAAGAAATCACACGTCGTGAACGTGAATTAGAAAGCCAAGTACGTAAGCCAGCTGAAGCTGAGAAGTACCGCCTTGAGAAAATTGCTGAAGCTAACAGGTGAAAAATTTACTTTCTCTTTACTTCTTTAAGAACCTCTGATTTCTAGAAATTTTCAGTCCTTCCTTTTTTTTTTCCCCCCCCTCTTAATCCTTTTTCCACCTCTGTTCACAGAAACCGAATTATCTTAGAAGCTGAAGCAACTGCAGAAGCAAAGAAGGTAAGTTTAATTGTGTTTATTTATAAATGTTTTATATTGATTACTGTGACAATTATTTTCTTTCACTCCATATTGTGACTTGTCTGGTGCAGGGGGTGGATTTAATGTGTGTAGGTGAACAATTGCTAAAATAAAATTGAATGAAAAGCTCTTTCAGCCAAACTTTTCATTTAGTCTTTCACAGCTTGCTACAGAATGAGTGTGCAAATTAAATCACTAGCATGAACTTACTCCTCTTTGTATATGCCTATTGGAATGTAATCAGACGGATAGTCAGTCCTTAAAAAAACTACTGAGTGGAGACAAAAAAAATTATATTTGCACACTGATGTAAATATTGCTGCCAGCATAGTATAGGTAGTTTGGCTAGGAAATGTGTTTTTGCTTCAGGATTTCTCAAAAATGAAAGCAAAGCTTTTAAGTGTTTACAAAACACTAATTTGATGACAGAGTAATTGTGAGTTCAGCCCTTGGCTGGGTAGTACAGATTTAGATTTAATAAAAACAGTGAGCCACAACTTAATAGTACTAATAAGGACAAAACATTGTTAGACATAGCCAATGGAATGAGAAAAATCATAGTAAAATTACCCAGCTGTTACTGTAGAAGGCCGGGTGGTACAACTGCCAAAACTCGATAATTACAGCAAAGATGAGGACATTAGACCTAATGTAGGTAAAATAGAAATACTCCTCAACAAATGTGACAAAAAAAATTAGTAAATCTTTGCAATTGTTAAGCATATTGAAATTTTGTGGTAAAGAAAATAACTTTCAAATGAGTAGTCTTATGCTTTCTGGTTAATAGCTTTAAATATTGCAAAAATGTAGGTGACCTGACAGCAGTATTCAAATTCTGGTTGAAACAGTTTGTTCTGTCTAAGTAAATTATCCAAATTAAAAAAAAAACAAAAAAACTTGTATTCCATATACAGTGGGGGGTGGGGGGGTAAATATTCATATACCATGAAATTTTTAATTAACATATGAAAAAACTTAAAATCCATTCAATATTTCTACACCATTGCATAATTGTTGCAATATGCAAAAAACAAAACTTTTTTATAAATGAAATTATTTGGTGTTTATAAAATTTTGAGGTGAAAAAGTATTTGTACAAAATGTCTTTAATATCAAAATATCAATTTTATTTATATAATTCTTTGTAAGAGTTTGCTAGATTCTTCTAATTATCTTACCAGAACAATCGTTATCTCCACACAAATCTTACACAATAATTATCATCATAGGGAAAGGCAAGGAACTATCATATTTGCAAAAAGAATTGATCATCAAACATTGGCAGGAAGGCAAAAGCTATAGGAAAATAGCAGATATCAAAAATATACCATTACTACTATTAATTATATTATAGCTATGTATAAAATTGTGAAAACTGTTGAGAATAAATTGAGATCTAGTGCACCATACAATATTTCTCTCGGATCAATAAGGAGAATTCTGTGCAAAATTCAAGAAAATCCAATGACTACTTGGAGAAAAATATAGGAAGAATTTAAAAGCATCGGGTATTATTGTTGAGAAGAGAACAATAAGCAATGGACTTCATAGAAGTCAACTAAGATCGCATTCTCCAAGAAAAAAACCGCTACTATTGAAGAAAGATAGGGATGCCTGGTTAAAATTTGTTTGTGAGCATAAAAATAAACCTGACTCATTTTGGGAAAGTGTTTTATGGATAGATGAAGCAAAAATTGAACTATTTGGGCATAATTCAAGGACTCAGGTTTGGAGAAACGATGACACAGCCTTTATACTAAAGAACACAATCCGAACGGTGAAATTTGGTGGTGGCAATATCATGGTTTGGGGATGTTTTTCTGCTAATGTTACAGGTAACATAGAGATAATAGATGGTATATATTTGAATTCATTCTACTAAGATGTACAATAATTTCTTTGGGTCAGTAGTAAGGCTTGGACTACCAAATGAATAGGTTTTGACCCTAAACATACAATTAAATCTACGAAAAAGTGGCTTACTGAAAACAATGTCAATACACTCGAATGATCAGCACAGTCTCCAGGTTGAGTCCAAAAGAGAATTTGTGGCATTTATTAAATATTCAAGTTAATAAAAGAGCTCCAAAATACATCCTGGACCTAAAGAGAATTATGCAAAGAAGAATGGAGTAAAATACCAATAGAAATTTGCAAAGCTACAGAAAGAGACTGATTGCTGTTGAATTGGGATACCCTACAAAGTATTAAATAGGTATTATAATTTTGTACAAATACTTTTTTTGCCTCCAAATTTTTTAATTTTATTAATATAACATTTTTCTGAATGTTTTTTTGCATATTGCAGCATTATGCCATGATATACAAATATTGTATGAATTATAAAATTCTTTTATAAAATCTGTTAAATAAAAAAATTCATAGTGTATGAATATTTCTTTTCCCTTCGCACACACACACACACACACATATATATATATATATATATATATATATATAAATAATGGACTCTCTTGTTGTCTTTGTATGAGAGTCCAACAATTCAGATCCTAGAGCTGAACAAAACTACCCACACATACTTTGATTATCATGGTGAAGGCTTGTGCAGAATTATTCACTTTTTGGAAGAACTGAAAACTGGTGTACATAGGGAGCCATGGTGTCTCTAAACAGCCCTGCTCAGATTTTGAATTCATAGTTTTCCTTCTACGACAATGGTGGCCAACCACTTGCTAGAGAGTTTACCTTGCTATTTTCCTCATAACTGTGGGGAGAAGATGGATTCATGCATTTCCCAAGGGTATTTGTGGGTAAGTGAACATAACAAACTCAACTGGTAATTCAACCATCTGATTTCTCATTCCAAGCCACTATTTAATACACCACCACACATTTGACTGGCCATGTTTGGCAACCAATTTAGGACAATTCTGAGTTCAAAACCTGAGGAGTGCTGTTTCGGAACCTTGTGGCACACTGTGTCCACCAGTTCTCTATATTCAGTTCTTCCAAAAAGTGTAGATGATTCTACACAAGTCTTTATCACTATAATCAACTTTTATGAGTAGGCAGTGTGCCTTTTTTAAACAGTGAATTCCATTTACTGTTTGAACCCTACTGGCGAGCACATGCACAGGCCAGTAGACATAATTCTGTTTTGTTTTGTTTTTTTTTTAAATACATCTACTCAAATGTGGGTCTTCACAAAATAATGTCAGTAGTAGTAATAGGAAATATCTTCTACCCCAATCTCTTTATTCTGTTACTACTAAATCTCAGATTGTACAACTTGAAAGCATTATTTTAGACCCAGTTTGCATGTGATTCTTTTCAAACACTGGTGGTGGGGCTTTTGTGAGCTGATCAGGTAAACAGCTGTTGTAAATTGTTTTTCAGTTGAAAGGAGAAGCGGAAGCTTATGCAGTCCAAGTTAAAGCTAAGGCTGATGCAGAACAAATGAAGCGCAAAGCTATTGCTTGGCAATCCTATGAAGATGCTGCCAAGACTGACATGATCCTAGAAGCACTACCAAAAGTAAGTGTCAACAAGCATATTTTGCCGTTCTCCAAACAAGATACTGAACAAAACAAAATACAATTCTTGATGTGGGAATCCTTTAGACTTTTGATACTAATTTCACATATTTTTTTTCTCCTAGATGTTTTTTTTATCACTAGTAAAATATTCCATTCAAATGAAGAAAATTTTAATTTCAAGAAGCCCATATGGTTTTCATTCTACATTTTCATAACTCTTATTTGACAATGTTTGCCAGTCTGGATACATTTTAAAGCTGTTAAATTTATAATTCAGCTACACAAGTTTTCGCCTAGCCCATTTTAAAAGTAGCCGAACTTGGGCCACTAATAAATCAATTCAAAATATTGCTGTGATGGGCTTTTAAATCTATCCAAATCTGTTTGAAGTTCAATTTAACCACACTCAATTTTAGATGAGAGGAAGTGACTTTGACTGTAGTTGATTGAATTTAAATCTTGTAGTTGATTATTAAATTTTTAATTGGGAATGGGGAGTGTGGGTGTCATTTCTCTGTCCTTCCCTTTGCTAAATGTTTTAATTTGAGTTTGTAAAGAATTTAAATATTGAAAGTAAAGTTTTATTAGCAGTTTGCTTGATGAAAACATCATTATTTTTAATTTTCAGAATTGATGTTTAAAAAAAAATGACTTTTACTACATATCTGAATTTTTTTTAACTTTATACTCTTCCAATATTATTTGACTAAATGCCAGTTATGTGATGTTCAAATTAAATAGGTTCATGGGTAGAAAAAAAATAAATTCTCTCCTGAATTGTCTAAAATTTCAGGTTGCTGCTGAAGTTGCTGCTCCATTGGCCCAGTGTCGCAAAGTAACAATGGTCTCAACTGGAAAAGGTGAAATTGGTGCTGCTAAATTGACGAATGAAGTACTCCAAATTATTGAAAAATTGCCACATGTCATTGAAGGGCTTACAGGTGTCAACCTCATCAGTCAGGTGCGTCTCTCTCTTCCTTCAGCCAAAAATGACAGTCCTGTATGAAAAAATCAATGCAAAGCAGAAGTTATCATTCCCATACCATCTCTATATTGTCCTTTATTTTAATGTTAGTTTTTTTGTTAGTTATTTATTTAGGAAAGATTTAAAATTTTCTGGGAATATTTTATTTTTTTCCTGTAGTTATTTTTGCTTCTTTTCACTTTCCATTGTGTAATTGTCTTTTTAGTTTAGTTTAAATGTTCTGTATGATTTTTTTTTTTTTTTTTTTTTTTTTTTGGCTGTTTATAAGATCCACCATAAAGAAAATGACTTAATGCCATAATAGGATTTTCAACTGTTGATTGTAGATAATAGGAATTTGTCACTATAATTCTGAGGCACAATTAAGAATAAATTTGTCACAGCTAATGCATTAACTAGTTTTACATGCCTAGCATTTAACCAAGACAAATGACATTTACATCTTAATTTTATTTATCTATTTTTATTCTAAAATGTTTTGCATGTGGACCATTATTATAGCAACCTAAGAAAAAAGACCCTACTTAGTGTTATATTAAGCTAAACTTAGTACCCACCCAACACCCAATTAACTGTTTTGTCTATCTGGCTTGTACCAATGTAAAGAATACAAAACTTTAGCATTCTTGTGAAGTATTTGTATTTTCTTACCTGGTTGAATCTTTATTTCTCATGTCATATTTAATATTCATTATCAATATTATTTTATTTAACATGGTTTGCTTTTCAAAAACTTTTTATTTATGTATGTTAAGTTATTTTTGTATACAATCTTTTACAATAAGTCTCATAATGATCTATTATATTTAAGATGCAAATTGTAAAGACATTTTAATTTAGTTATAAATTTAAACCATAATGATGTTATATAACATTTGTCTTTGTGTTTTTGTGTTTTTTTTGTTTTTTTTGTTTTTTGTTTTTTTTCTTTTTAATAAAAAGTAAAGTTTTAATTAAGCTGTTCAAATTTTTCTCCCTTTGGATCTGATAACCTAAACCACCTACCCAAACTCTCACATCTTTGCAAAATGCTAACTTAGTCAGCAAATAACCTGATTGAAACAGATGTTTGTATTGCTTAATGAATACTGATTGATAGAAGTTGTAGATGATGCAAGGCACTTAATTGTCTGTTGGCTCTGCAATCCTTTGCTTGGTATCAGACTTAAGAACCATGGTGACAGGTCTTTCTCTGTTCCAGCTGCTCAGTGCTGAAATGAGCTTTCCCCATGGAGTAAGGGGACAACAGCAAGAAGTACCATCTTTCAATCAAGACTGAAGACACAACTCTGCAGAAAAAGCCTTCCATTGAACATCTCCCTCTTCTCTTCTACTCCATGGTATTCTTGACCAGTTCTTCAGCATTAGATGTTAGTGGCTAACTAAAATTCTCTTTACTTTCATTGTCTGTTTTGTTGTTGTCTGTCACTATTAATTTTGATTCTTGTAGGAATCACTTCATTTCTCTTTGATTCCCAATATTCACATATAGGTTTGGTTTAAGTGTTTACAAGGACTGTGCCTGTCTTAAAATGTTCTATTTAATATCAAAGTAATTTTTAAGGAAATAGCCATTTGTTTTCTTTTTTAATTTTAATGACTATTATGTAATATTTTAAAATTTCTATTGTTTTGATTTAATTTTAATCTATGCTGAAATTAAAAGAAAACAGCTTTTTACAATATGACATGTAATTATTTACTGTCAAATTCTTGACAAGAACACATTTTTCTAAAAATGCTATGCAATATATGTATTTTTTTTCTTTTAAACTGTTATTGCAATTTTGATCTTTCTGCCAACATCTTAATCCTTGTGGTTCTTTTGTTGAATATTTTGGATGATACATTTGTTACAATCTGCAGTCTGCATATCTATGAATTCATAGATTATGAGAGATTTTAAAATTCTTACATGCTTAACTTTGTATTGCCAAAAAAATTTTTTTTCGCCAAATACTCACACAGATTTGTAGTTATTTCCCAGAAATTTCGAAGCATGTTGGAAAAATGTTGCATTAAGTGTTTAAAAAAAAAAAAAAAAAATCCTGAAATCAATTAATCCTTATGTAGTATATGAAGTGGGGTGCTGATAATGTTGACTGATAAATCATGAATGGGTCAGTCTCAATACCTGACCTGGAAAAATGACAATTCTTTCCCAGGAATGAAAAAAATATCTGCAGATTAACTCTTTAAATAAAATGTATGTGTATGCCTCTTGTGAAATTATAAGCTTTCTAGTTTGCTCTTAGCTTGATTTTTTTTTTTTTTTTTTTTTTTTATTACTCTGTTTTTAATAAACCTCTTAAATTTTCCAAGGCCACTCTTGTTGTAAAGATTAGTTTGACACAGTTACACGATAGGTGACTTCTCTTTTTCCCTTTTATATCAACAAAAAATTTTCTTTATGTATCTTTTTATTTAGTTATTTTATTTTTTGTTTGTTTATAGTTAATTTTTCCCAATTTCATAATGTATTGGGCAAGTTTGTTTAAGTAAATACTTTTTTCTTTGAGAATTCTATAGAGCTGAAAAAATGCTAATCTGAAGATGCCATATAATATCTGAATGCTTCTTGTTGAATGCTGCCTTTGAGTTGGAAGCAATACTTGTTAAAATAAATCATTTGTTTCTTCAAAAGCTGTTCATAGAGGATTCTATTCCAATGCTCCCAGATACACAGCATCATCTACTTTGAAAGAAGTCTGACCTTTTTAGTTCATTTTACTTGCCTTAAGATTTCCTGAATTTTATCTTATTCTAAAATATTCTTTTTATCTACTGTCATACTGTTTCTATGAAACATTCAAACATAATCCAGGTTCTTTTTATTTTTTTAATCCAAATATAAACTGGTGCTAATGACTTTTACCTTATCTATAAACTGTACAAATCTTTAAAAAAAAAAAAGTTCTTTCATCAACATTTGACTAAACAAAAATGTATCAATTTTGACTTATAAAATTTAAACTAATTAGCATCAGGAACATTCATTTGAACTATCAAATATCAAACAGAACAAACTTCTTGGACAGTACATTTTTTTTTTTTTTTTTTTTTTTATTATATGTAAAGTGTTGACAGACCTAAAGTTGTTTTTTGTTTTGTTTTTTTCCTCTTTTTTTTCTCCCGCTCCTTTTCGCTCTCCGCTCCCTTTTCTCCTCTCCGCTCCCTTTCTCCCTTTCCTTTCCTCCCGCCCCCGCTCCCTTTCTCGCTCTCCCGCTCCCTTTCTCGCTCTCCCGCTCCCTTTCTCGCTCTCCCGCTCCCTTTCTCGCTCTCCCGCTCCCTTTCTCGCTCTCCCGCTCTTGTTGTTTTTTTTTTTTCTTTTGAAAATAAATTTGATTTTGTTTTCGTGTTTTTTTTTTTTTTTTTTCGTTTTTGTTTTTTTCAGACTATGGCCTCATCTCGTGCAATGGTGTAAGGGCAGTCCTCAAAACAGCAGACTCATGACAAGAGGTCACAATTTTACTGTAGACTTTCCTTTTACTTATAACACATTCTTTCACTTGTCATTTTGATTACTTTATCAAATTTTGACGCAAGATGCTCAATAAGTAAAGATTAATTATTCGTTGACTGCACCTTAAGTTATCTTAACTTCAACTGGCCTCTTTTGTCAATTTTTGACAAGTTTTATATTTGTTAATTTTTTGAGTTTTGTTTGCAAAATATACTGCCATGAATAAGTTTTGCAAGATATTTGATTTAATTCTTTTTCTGGAATTGTTGAAATTATTACAATTTTAATTACGCTAATAAGCAGATATGTGAAACATTTTTAAAGATGGAAAATATTTCTAAAATCTTCATCTGGCAAACTTTTCAGATTTAATATCCTCCCATGAAACTTTTTGTCTTTGTTAGAAAAGTTTAATTTATTCTTTAGATAATAAATATATATAATATATAATGGTTTTGCTCCAAGGGAGTGCCTATTACTGGAATGGTTCTTGTACCCCACTTTAACTAATTTGTCAGTATTCCTGTTGTCTTGCAACTCTTTGGTTACTGATGCAGCAAGTGACCATATCTAAAGACTTTTTTAAAGGCTGAAAACTGGTTATCTGCAATTTGTGGAGTTTCAGAAGAGGAAAAAATAAAGTACATGCTGTCAAGAAACCTTTGCTTGGATATTGAATTTTTTATGCAACCTACAGAGTATCAATTATTTTAAAATGATAGAAAAACAGATTTACATCTTCAAAAATTTAACCTTACTTTAATCTTTTTAGAACTGATTCCCTGCAGTTAAATAAAGTATTGATCAACTGACCTGCTTTGCCCCACACCCTCCCTTATTTCTTATTGTGATTGTTTTCTACCTAATATTTCAGATTTTACATTACAGTATTAAAACGAAGACTTTAAGTACTTCACTTGACTCTTCCACTTTCTATCATTACAAGATATGAAACTTTTTGTATGAAAGAAAGTGTTAAGAATTCAGATTAAATCATAATCTATTGACTGTAAGGAAAACATGCAATAGAATTTTGTTACTTAAAACATTTTTCAGTTATCAATGTTTCCCCCACTGTTTTTATGCTTATATGTAAATCTAGATTTACATTTTAAAATTCAAATTTCCTTATTAATCTTTGACACTTCTTAAATTATCTTAAAAGGTAAACACTGGAACTCTTTCTTAGTTTCCCTTCGCTATGAAAGACTACTTTACCTTGAATTTTGTGTGTCTACTTCTGAAGATTCTGAAAGCTATTATCTTTGCTGTTGGGACTCTGTGCAGGGCAAAGTACCTGTTGACCAACAAGTCATGAGGGAATATTGAAAAAAAAAATGTTAGTCACATGAACACTGGCTATGTATGTAATATCTGATGTTCAGTTGTCCAACATATTTTTCTCTTCCTCTATATTCTTCAGTTGTTACCATCAAGGCAGCTATGCATGCCTTGATGGTGACACACCTTGACCATCCACATTGACAGTTGTAATCTGCATTCCAGGCATCTGGTGTGACAGAAAAAGGTGCACAGTAAAAAAAAAAAAATCTTTGCATAGGTGTTTGAACTGGTGGCAACTGAGCAGTGTAGGAGGTTAGTCCATAAACAGCAAGCTTACTTGTATAAGTACCCTTCTCTACAGACAAACTTGATAGGATGTTTTTTGTCTTCATTCCATGGCTTTGTAGAAGTTGAATATCAATGTCTAAATCTTCCCCTTTTTATCTGTCAAATCTTGTTTTCTCTCAAATTGTAATGCATTAAATAGCCAAAGTCCCCAAAATGGTCTAATACATGAGACTAATTCATGTGGGTGGCCTTGTTTTGTATATGGAGTTGCTAACATGCATATCTACTTTAATACCATAAATCAATTGTTTTGTGCATATACTCTTTAAGTTTTGACAATATATATTTATCTATGATTGTGTGCATGTGAGTTCATATTACTCTTTCCATATATTTACATTTTTTTTTTTTTTTTTAAATTTTGTTCATGTTTGTAAATGTTATTACTTTGTAAGGTATATCTTCATGGAATAATAATAAATCAAGAATAAATTTGATGTTGAGCTTTTTTATATATACATATATTGTTTTTATCCCCCTCCACACACAAATCTTTGCTCTACTCCATCTTTATCCCTTCAATCATTTTTAGGTGTATTCCTTATTTTTTGTATTTAAGAGAGCTTTGTTTTCAGCTCATATATTGGGAATGTGTGAAACTTACAAGAACCTTTTTTCTTTTCAGGAAGGCAAGCAGAACTTCTGCCAAAAATTGCTCAATAGATAACTAGAGCAATATATATAACAAAAAAATTAATGTGACTTATCTGGTTAGACTACTTAAAAGTTTTGATTTATCAAAAATGTATTTGATTTATCAAAAATCTGGCCCTGATGTGTTTCAATGCAAAACTTAAGTAGGCTAACCAGATAAGTCACTACAACCATATAAGAGGGTACTGCAAATTTCTTATCCCGACCCACTTGCCAAAACCAGTATTCTGATTGTTCATCAAAATAAAAATTTTGGAAGTAGGTCATAAGAACTTTTTCATATCCCCTCATATATTAACATGAGTAGCATTTTAATTATGAGAAATATCTTATTGTATCACTAGATATCTTATGTTGGTGGTGGGGTGCTAATTTTAATGTTTTCACCAAGATCTACTTTCTCTCTGAATATCAGAAGAGCTTAGCAAAATCATGATTTAGTAAAATATGATAGGGAATTGGGAATTGAACTTGTAAGGTCATAAGTTGGTCTTAACAATTTGGCATTTAATGCTTCAAACTACTTGTGCAGTAAATATAAAACTGTATAGTGCCAAAAATACTTATAGCTTTAGAAATTATGGACAGTAAGAATGACAACACCACCTGTTTTACACCCCCCCTCTCACTATTTACCCAATTTTGGTGGTTACTAAAAATGTTCTTTATCTATAACCTGGAATGTTGTGTAGTTGAACTGTTAAATAATGTGGATCTTTTGAGATATTTTTAATAAGCTAAGAATGAATGATTTTATTGCCCCCACCCTCCCCTAGACTTTTGAAAGTCTTTTTCAAACTATTGCTAACCTTTTGAAATAACCAAACTCTACATTTCTAATATTTTTGTAATTTAAGTATGATGAATTAAGTTGCAATTGAAATTTATTTACATGTCAATTTATTTTTCTGATATAAATGAACTTGAAATTGAATAATTATAACTTTTGGATAAGGCCACTTTAAAAATAATCAAGTTTAAAGAAAAATTAATTCCATAATTTTTTTTCTTTACTTACATTTTAGTAAATTGACTTTAAAAAAAAAATAGTTTTTCATTTTTAGTCAAGTACAAAATAATTAGCATGTTTAACTCCACTTTTCTTTAGTAATAGGAAGTATTCAAACTCTTCAATCATCCCAATAAGTTGATATATGAAATTCTATTTTTAAGATTCAGATTTTAGCTGACCAGATAAACAGAAAATTTCGATGAGAATGAAATTTCTTAACAAGGTTAATGATTTTGATGTAGTGCCTTTTTATAGGCTAATTACTTTGACAAATGATTCTACAAGTATATAAATGTATTTATACTGGGGATAATTACTTTGACAAATGATTCTACAAGTATATAAATGTATTTATACTGGAAAAGTTTTTTCCAGCTATGTGCCTGTATTAGATATTTATTTTAATTCTACTGAAATGTTAAAATGATCAATTGATGATTTCATTATCTGTCTATATTTCTGACATGAGGTATTATGTACATTATTTGGACTATTATTCTCATCTTTGTCGCCATATTTATTACAACGTTTTGGCCATTGTACGCTCCAGCCTTCTTCAGGTGATTGGAATGGATCTAACCAATGCCTTTATCCACTGTGCCATGTGTCCTTGAGGACATTTGTGTATTATAAACCTAATGTCTCAGTAACCTTTTTTACCAGTGCTCATATTGCAATTTTTGCTGTTATCACATCATGTTTTTACCAGAGCTCATATTGCAACTTTTTGCTGTTGTTATTGCTTTTCTCTGGCACTCGCATCCCTTCTCTCTCCATATATGGTCAGTCATGCCTGATTTTTCCACTTCCCATCATGTTACAGCTTTCTGGTGTTTTTGAAGCCTTACCTTCTTGTGGAAAGAAATATAAATGGGAGACAGACCACCCCCTTAAGGTAAAGCTTCAAGAACATCAGAAACCTGTAGGGGAAGTGGAAAAATCGGGCGTGGCTGACCACGTATGGAGAGAGGAAATCACCACCCTCTGTGGGATCAGGTTGAGATCATAGACAATGAACACCATTGGAAAATTTGTAAACTTAACAAATCAGCATGTATGCTAGGCCACAAAAATCTGAGCTGATCAAGCATAGAAATGAATACAATATGGGAACCAGTAATTGAGCTCTGGTAAAAACATGCAATGATAACAGCAAAAATTGCAATATGAGCACTGGTAAAAATGGTTGCTGAGACATTAGGTTTATAATACCCAGAAATTCATACACAGAACACATGGCACAGTGGATAAAGACGTTGGTTAGATCCAGTGACAGGACCCAAAGAGTGTGAGTTCAATACCCGGTTAAGACAGTGGAGAACTTTCAGAGGGGAAATTAACAGGAGATAACTAAATTAAACATGACATATGGAACTAGAACAGTCTACCCCAGTGAGGGAAATACAGGGTTCAGTTCAACATTCCAACCATCTGAAGAAGGCCAGAGCATACGACTGCCGAAACATTGTAATAAATAAGCGACATGATGAGGACAATAGTCCGAATAATGTAAATAATGATGATTTCATAAGAGAATATTTTCTCCTTAGGCAATTCTCTCTTCTAACATGTAGAACAAGTCAGAATTTGAAACTTTTGCTTAGGTGTAGAGGGAAATAGTTCATGTTAAGTAGCATGAATTTTTTTAAAATAATGGAACCCTATTCTTAATTTACTATAAACCTGGCACAAGACCATTTTGAGTCACTTGGAAGGAAGTTGGCTTTTGGTTATGCTATTACAAAAGTTGTTTTATATTTGCTAAATTAAAGGGAATCAGCTTGTCAAACAAAAATACCTTTGCATCATTTTTTTCCCAAATTTTTTTTTTTTTTTTTTTAGATTGGTTCCTTTATATTAAGTGCCTTATGATACTATTTCCAACACTTAGAATTCTAAGACTGGCTTCATTGCATTGAAGCCAAAATTTGAGATTTTTTTGCATATACTCGTACTGAAAAGTAAATCCTTAGAAAACATTTTTACACTTTTGTAAATAAAATCATTCTCAAAAATAGTACTTCACTTTGAATTCAAGGCTAATTACTTTTTTTTTCTTCTTCCTCACAGGCTTCAAATGGGCACCTGCAGTAAGTAGTTAGTGCATACTTGCAAGCTATTGCTTATGTTTTATAATCATTACTACTGTGTCCCTGTGCCAGACTTAGCTATGTTAATAATTTATTTTATCTTCAATCTCTATATAAAAGAAATTTTTACCAATATGTCATATCTTAAATTATATTTCAAACCCCACATATCAACACGCCTGATATTGTGTATAATTTGGGCAAGATGTTTTGCTAACCAAGAAACAACTAAAATGAAAATAAATAAGACTATCTTACCTGGCTTTATGTAATTACAAATTTTTTAATGATAGTTACTACATTTGGGAATTCTAAAGAATGTGTATTACAAAGTAAATTTTTTTTATAAAAGAGAAAAGTTGCATCATGTGAATACTATCAAGTATGCCATTATCTAGATCAAATAGTATTTCTCTCTCTGATCACACACAAGTAAATAAAAAATAAAAAAAAAATAAATAAAAAAAGATTAATATCACTGAAGCTGTTTCTTTTCTTCTCATATACCCAGAATATGAAACCAGGGCAAAAAAAAATTTTTTTTTCCCTGAAATGTTTTTGTACTTGTTCGAACTGCCATGAGAAGAATTTTCCGAGCTGGATTTCAGGCACTTCACGTTTCAGTTTAAGTGGAGACACACACACAGTCTGTACAAGGTGTAGCAGAAATACCTCCTACAAATACCCCTTCATAATGGTAAGACATTAATGGTGCCTTCATCTAGCTAATGTCTTGCCATTATGTGGAAGGTAATTATGCCACACCCTGTATTAATGATCATTCTGATATTTTGTCATTTAAAACTTTTATTAAAATCTTCAGTTGCATAACAATTGTTTTCTGATCATTTTAAAATGTCTGTCATTAATGGAATATTTCTCTATCCAATATTGCTTTCCTCTCCCACCCATATAGGTTTTCTTGAGAAAATGTTTAATTCTCTTATTTTGGTGCATTTATATCTATTCTACTGTCTTTGATATTTTCCTTTACTCATATTAAACATGAAATTATGCAAAAGATTATATTGTAATAGTTTTTGTTTGTGTCTCCAAATACTGGAGAAAATTTTATTAAAATCAAAATGAAATCTGCTTGAAAATAGAAATTTAAGCATCACTTCTTTTTAAAATTAAGAAATTAGCTTTCTCAGTCATTTTTATGACAGCAATTGCATTTGAAGTTTTTCTCTCCTCTCTAGAAATTTATAAAGATTTCTACCAGATGTGTATTAAAATAAATAAAATGTTGATATAATTCAGATTGTTTATTGGTTTCCATGGGAAAACTCTTTGCTTCATTTATTTTTAACAGATTTGCCTACATTCATTTCCCAAATTGCAATTCAAATCACTAAATCTCTTCAAGGGTCAATCAATATCCTCCTCATCTTAATTTTCACTTCCTTCTAATTATGCTCATATCACACACTTTATTCAGTAGCTCTTGAATCTTACTTTGGGTGAACTATTTAGCTTTGGTACAGAGCTACAAGTTTGATAAGGGCTCCCAGTGAAACCAGAATTCATTACTGTAGTAATGGTCTATGAGAGCTAACTTGTTCACCATTACTCTGTCAAGGTAGTTTGGTTTCATTCTCTTAGATTAGTAACAATTTTTCTTAATAAATTACCACCTCTCTTTAATTCACATCAGTAATCAGTCTGTATATAATCTATTTAAGCTACTATATTTTTACATATTTATTCACATTCCAATATGTGTTGAAAATAGATTTCATGCTGAGTTGCTATTCCACTTGATTAGTCAACGAGAAAACAAAAAGAAAATGCTTTTCAGAATTTTAACTTAAAATCCATGCATTAAATAACACTGCCACAGATAGTATGTTGCTTCTATGTATTTAGAGATTCTTGATAGAATCCAAAGAATCTGCAATATTATTGGTCTTGACCTAGTATCTCAGCTTTATTCACTTTTCCACTGGGAGTAATATAGATTTCCTGTGCCTTTTCTATAAATATTTCCAGGTAATTTTTCTGATGAGCTTTCCTCTTTGTTACCTTGACTTTACAAATTTAAGCACAGGCAGCTAGGTCTCTTCATTTTACAGTTGAAATGGCTCTATGTAACCATAATTTCTATGCTAAAAGTTTCTTCTATCACACTTCTTGCTTGGGGAACTCTCTTCCAGCTTCTTGCTTCCCAGCCAGTTTTGATCTTCAAAAATTTAAATGCAATGTCAATTATCTTGTCTTAATTCTCATTCTTGTATTGTTTTCTCTCCATTGTTTTCTTTTCTCACAGTTATTCACATCCAGAACCCCCACCTTGCACCTTAGTGGCTTTATTGCTTTGCTTGTGGTGAAATTATATATAATGTAATAATTACTTTGTGTATCCAGATAAAGTAGAACTTAATTTATACAACTGCAAACTACAGCTTGATCAAGTTGAATCATTTCCAGAGTTAAATAAAATAAAAAGTTATGAAAATCAATTGGTACTTTCAGAAAATTCTTCATATTGGGTGAGGCTAACACTTTGAAATAAATACAATCTTTTGTTCCTCATAATATCTTAAAATTTCAGTCAGTCTGACTACTGTAGAGGATTCATCAAATCAACACAGATAAAACTGCTTATGTATTTGCACATGGAACTCTAACAATAGGCCTTGTTAATAAAAATTTGAGGCCAACCTACAAATCTCTTGATTTGTTTTGGAAGCATTTTGAATATTTCTCCATAGAGACACAAACAATAATTATTTTCCATTTGTCGCTTGATTATTCTTAAGTAATGAAGCATTTTATTTCTTTATACAAGAGTTAACATTCATTAAATGATGTTAGTTATAATTATTTTTTGATAACTTGATGGAAAATTGTTTCTCATAAGACTTGTCTGTTTTCCTGGACAGAATTTCTGTCATTAGAATGCAAAATACCAGAATTCATTAACATTTTCAGATATCTATGAATATCATTTGGCCATTTTCTTTTGATTAACTTGAAGGAAACAACTTGTGGGAGAATGTCTCTCAATTTAGGATATTTGTTAGACTAAGCTAAATTTAATACAAGGCTATATTTGGAGCATGCTCCCAATTTACATCCATTGAACTGAAAAACGGCAAATGTTCAAAAGTTTTAACTAAAATTTTTCTCTTTTGTGTGTATTTCAAGTGATTTTCTTATTTTGCCCCATCTGTAATAATGGGGACAGTTTGCTAAAAACTTTTAAAACTTAATACCTTGACAATTAAACAGTATCAAAGCTTGCATTTAAAAAAAAAAAAGAGAAAAAAAGCAATTATTTTGACATTTCTTTTTTTCTGAGTGCTACAGCCTCACATAGATATTTCATCTCCAGACACAAGTGTCATACCTCGGTTTTATTTAACATACTTTTCAATTTCTTTGTCACACTTTCTTTTATCTTTTGTGCTTGGTACAGTTATGAATAGGGGGTGAGGCTGCGCACAAAAAAAAAAAAATTCTTACCTATACTGCTCTGTGGTCTCGATTTTTATTTTGTTTTTACAAAATTTTCAGTTTTCACATGTGTATAATATTGGAAATTTCTTACAAAACTTATTTCTACTTAGTTGTTTTTTTTTTCTTTATAGTCTAACAATTTATTTCCCTTGTATACAAGATACATTGCAGCTCTTCAATTGTTAAGATCATGAAAACCACTCAATTTTGAGATTAAAAGCTGATTTCCTTGCAGCTAAATCATGTAACCATTCTAAGAGAAGCAGTTCCCTTAACACTCTCTCTCTAATGGACAAATCTCAAATAGTCACTTTCAACTATCAAAATTGGCTAGGACAAAATTACTTTTGTGATTATGTCAAATTTTTTTCTGCCTCTGTAAAATTTTTGTAAATAATAAATCTACTAGTCAAAAAGTAGACAGATCTACTCTTAGAACAACAAAATGCAATGAAAAATGTTGTTTTCTTTACTTTGAATTCTGTTCTTATCAATGAAATACTTGAACCAATTTTAAATGTTTCTACTAAAATTAGAACACTAAATGTTGGCATTTAGTTTTGTATTTCATTGATGGTACTTCTAGTAAAATAGTGTTTTATATTGAACTCAAGCCTGCATAGAGTAATCATATAACTTTACATGCTTCTCAGGATGCAGTTGTTATGATTATTATTCTACTGAATCTGACTAGGTTTGGGAACATATTGGACACATAGTTATCATGCCTAATGACTGACCTGCGTGATGTAGTTTTTGTGCTTGAAATGTAAAAGGTTTGACTTGCAACTCATCTTTAATTTCAAATTGATTACAATGATTTCCTGACACTATTTTAACAAGGAAAATGTGTTCAAAAAGAACTGCAAATGGTAAATATGACTCATTACTTTTGTTTTTGAGAACAAAAATGAAATTGCAAAGAACTTTTTTTTTTTTTTTTTTTAGCATCACTTTTTTACAAACATTACATATTTAATGGAATCTTTCATATGTAATTATTTTTTCTCTGGTGTGTATGTGTGCGTGTGTTTTTATTTATTTTTTTAATAAATAATTTGGGTGTGGCTCTTTAATTTTTCTCTAAAAAGCTTTTCAAGAGCAAATCAATTTTGACAAAATCAAGATAAAGTCTAACATCAAATTTTATAAAATATACTTTGTGTGTGTGTGTGTGTATGTTGGCGTTAACAATGTGTGCAGAAATAGGTATGCATTATGTACACATAATGCATACTGGCCACAGCCCTCACATCCAGCAACAACCTTAGCTCTTGAAATGTGTGTGAATCTGCCTCGTTCAGTGAATTTCTTTTTTCCATGCATTCTTATCAATTCTATTTTCTTTTTATTTTCACATTTTTTTCTGGCAGTCACTTGCTACTCACATTATTTTGAATTATAATTGAGTATTTTGTCAATTAAAAAAGACAGTCTTGTGTTGTTAAAAAAAAAATTAGATTTGCTTACAACAAAAATCAATTGTAGTGTCATGAAAACAAATTGCTCAATTTTAAAAACCTTGGAATAAGAAAATGTGCTTATTTAAACTGGAAGAAACAAATGGAAATTACATGTAAATGTTTTGAATGAATAACATACCAAAGAAATGCATTCAATTTAAATCTTTCAATGTTGGCTTTTATTGTGTTTTACCAAAACTGGGATTTGATAAATACTTTTTTCTTTTTAAATCGATTACACTTATTAAAGTAATATGCCATCTTGATTAACACTGAAAGAAATATTATCAAAGGTGTTTATCATGTTATGAAATTCTAAATGTTATTTGTTTAATTTGCAACACATAAAAAATGAATTGTGGAGAAAGACTGATGGGAAAGTGATTTATTGACAGAAATGGAAAATACAACAAAAGATGTGAATTGGGATTTTCAACAAATCCAAGATTTTTTTTTTTTTTCTTTTAAGGTCTAATACTTTGCATGGAATTTTAGAGTGACTCCACTTCTGACCACACTGCCTCTTCCTAATTGCCTGCCTGCCTCCACCATTGCTGGGAGAAATGGACACTCAGAGTTCACCTAAGTCAATGTTCACATGTTATATAGTGGATACAACTTTAAAAAAATAAATTGTTGCCTTTTCGATGTTGTATAAAATATATACAAAATTTTTTATGATAGAAATAATTTTGAATCATTGGAAAAACTAAAATCTTCACATTAGGTTTAACTCCTTTTTCTTCTGATGTGTTGTCTAAATTTTTTTCACTTTGAAGAAAGTAGAGAAAGTTGTCCTGAAATCAAATATTTCAGGAAATTTTAAGAAACTATTGTCTTTTCTAACATTAAAAACAATTACTGAATTATCATTGTTAAATCTTATTTTCACAATATTTTACATTTGAACATTGACTCCATCAAAAAATTGCAACAGTTATTTTCAGGTTTTTATTTCCTTTGCTACAATCCAAATTAAAATTGATCACCTTTCACTGCCAGGTGAAGCTTTTGCATGTTTTAACTTTCTAAATACTGTTATATCATTAACATTATTATGAATATTAACATCATCATTATTGCTATTTTATCATTTACTGATGAAGAATTGATCAGTTTTATTCACTGTCTATTGCTGCATGTCAAGTTATCTGTAATTTCATTTTTTTTTTTTATTTTTTTTTTTTTTTCCATTAATAAAAGTTTTATCATGGGGCTATGGTCTCTATTTATTATTAATGACATTGTCTTTTTTTATTTATTTCCTTCTCCACCTCTCCAGAAAGAAAATTGTAAATGAAATAACCAAAATCTGTCTTTACTTTCAGGTATAAATTGATTATTTTTGTTAAAATTTGTAAAAAATTTTTATCATTATTATCAAATATTTATTTACAATAGGCTGAAATATTTCAAAATATTTCACTTAAATTTTTAAGAATCTTCCTTTGAGTTAAAATTTGAATTGGAGTTGATGTACTCCTTAACTAAAAGGAATTCTTAAAAATCAAGATATTAATTTAAATAATTATATTATGGTGGATCAGTTCTTAAAATAAACTAATACTCTTCATGTGGAGGTAAAATGATAGCATACCAGAAAATTTCATTGTAAGTTTTCCTGTCAGTCTTTATTTGAGAAGAAAAAAAAACACTTTTACAGGGTCTGTTCTAAAGCAATAGTTAGCTTCACAATTGATTATGAATTTAATCCTTATAGTATGTGTTTGTGTCACAAATGTAGCCTAATACAAAACTTGATTCTAACACTCACATTTTAACTGATCTTGCCTTTTTGTCATTGGTGGTTTTTGCAAGCCTTTCTTCATAAGCACACCTCCCCCACCCTCTGTAATTGGAATGTTTCACAGTAATAAATCAAAACGAATTTTAAGCTTGCATATTGCTTTTTGTTGACTTACTAATACCTTGCATGAACATTTGGAGTAATAGCTTAAAACATCTTTCAAAATAAGTATATTTTTTTATTATATATACTGGGTTCTTCCTTGCATTTATTTAAAAATATGTAACAGCAGTAAATCAGTGTGCATCTATTTATTTACCATCAAGTCATGACACTTGACCTTTCAAAAAAACCTTGACCTTTTTTATAAAAAAAATTCTAATGTAGTGTAATGAATTGTGTAAATATGTTATGCTTATTTAAGTTTTATGCATTATGAATGTTTATTTTTCACATACATAATAGTTGGAATATAATATGTAAATAGATATAGGAATGTGTATTCAATACACATTCCTATATACAAGTACTGAATTTCTTATTAAAAAATGCTGTAAAAACAGAAAAGTGGCCTTAGCTCAAGAACATCTTGTCAAATTTTAATGACATTTGGCACTGCACTCAACAGGGGGTTCAAGGTATAGTATACTCCTAAATTGGTTGGGTTATGTATTAGAAACACACTTCGTTTTAGTATTATATAGACTGGTTAATAGGAAGGTTATTTAGAAAATGATTGCAAATTGAGAAAGACTCTTTGGTTGTTGACAATGGTAACTACATATTAACTGTTTCAAGTAATTTTTAATCTGACAGTAGCAAACAATCCAATACTACTTGCCATGTGTAGAGAAAGATTATAGATGCCAAATATTGGATGAGTGCAAAAGATCACATCCTCTCATTATTTTTAAATGAGATAAAAAAAAAATTACTACAATTTAAGTTGGAATCTTCTGAAATGTGACAAAAAGAAAGTCCAGCATGACAATTTCACCAAAAAAAAAATTCCTTTTGATGGAAATATTTGCCGTGTTCCAGAGGAATGCTGATGTCATTTTAAAATGTGTTGTGACTAGCAATGGTTTAGCAATGTTACTGGATTTTCTTGAAATATTTGTATTACCAAAGAGATTCCTGCAAAAAGGGTTGTCAATTGAAAAATTCATTGTGGAAACCGTGATTGAAACAAAAGGCAAATGTGTAGAAAGAAATCTCATTTCTTTCTTTGTCAGATGATTCCATGTTTAAAACCCAAGGTGTTTGGTAAACGGTAGAGAAACATGTACACTTTCTTCAAATAGAAAGATGACTGGCCTGCTCTGACTTGTATTTCATTTGTTAGCCATTCTACTGAATGACTATTGCCCAAATAAATAGCTTTTACTTTGCTTTTGTCAGGCTCATTTCATCTAATTCCCTTTGCTAATTTAACTTCCAGCCAATGAAAGCTTTTTTTGATAAATCCTATTTACCTTCAACTAAATGGTCAATAGGAACCTTTCTTCTAACAATGTGAACTTTTATATCACTACAAAAGAAATTGTTAGAATTTAAAAGAATGAAGAAAAAATGATCTAGAAATAAAATAAAATTTTATAAATTTTTTTTACAATTGATATATAACACACCAAATATATTTCAATGACATGCTCATGAGTCTTGTGTTTGATCAACCATTTAGATTCATTATAAACTCGAGCATGAAAGTAATTAATATTATCTATTTTTTGTGGTAGTTATATTATGATGCAGCATCATTTGCAGGGATATTCCCCAGTGTAATGAATGTTCACTGGTTAATAATACAAGTTTGGTAAAGAGCAGATGTTGCACTAATTATGTTAAATTTTTCTTTAAGTGAGACCAAAGGCACTCAGTATGTTTTGTGTGGTTTCCAGTTTTTTTTCTCCATAAATCTAATTAAGATCTGCTTGCCATTAACAGTGGTAGCAGAGCATAGTTACATCGTGACTTTAAAATCCCCCCCCAAAAAGCAAAAAAAAACAACAAACATTCAAAAGATGGTGATAAAGATGTGGGTAGAAGTCAGAATTAGTAATAAAAAAAATGGGAATTGCAGTGAACTTATTACCACCAAAAAATGGCTTAATAGCAATAGGACACTGTTTAACATTCATGTCCACAAGAAATAGTGTCAAAAGGACTGTTATCTCTATGCAAATTACTAACAGTGCCACTTGTAGATCTACCTTTTCCAAACTATCATTTTGCTAAGGGGAACTCAACATGTTACACCTTATTTAGTAAAAATATTTTTGATTTAACTAATTTTATCATTAAATTTAATATAAATTATTTCTAGTTTAATAATACCACCATATCAAGTATGGAACAAAAAACAATGGGAGTTAATCAAACAAAATTCCTGCAATCATGTAACATAAGTCCCTTCTATTGAAAATATATGTACATACAAACTGACGGTAGTTGTATCTGTTGCAGTGAATGTGGGAGCTTCACTCCTATTTTAGCATTAAAATAAGTCATTTTCTGTAACAAGAAATACATGACTCAAAAAAATTAGCACCAAGCATACAAGAATCATGTGATATGCCATAATGTAAAGTATGGTATCAGTCACAAAATGCCCCTTTTCTACCCCCCCCCCCACCGCACATTGTCAAAGGGTTCAGTTAACTTTGTATACACTGGTAAGTATTACCTGTAAAAATGTATTAGCCCAATAAGGACTAAAGTTCCTTTCTCTCTCATCTATATGTGGTTATCGGTACATTTAGTATATTACTATCAATACCTAATCTGGTGATGCTCCTGTCTTTTGAAATGGAATATTACTACATTCGTGTATGCATTTTTTTTTTTTTTTTAATATGACGCAATTTTATATTTCGTATGCCATATTGGTTTATTTTAGTAGTCACGATAGACGCTTCCCATTCACCAGGTGAAATTTGTTCAAGACGGCTTTGTTTCACTAATTTTCTTAATTTAGTGCCATTAGTAGTTGTAAAACTGTGTCTGTAGCGGCCCATTTGTGGGGTTACTACGTAAATAAAATATAAAGAATATACAGGAAGATATTAACACAAAAACCGGAGTTACAACAAAAGCAGAGTTCTTTAAAAAAAGTCTGTTTTATTATTGGTAATCAACCAGCAACTTAATTACAATATGCACTGAAGAGAGTTACCATCTGGTAAGTTGTGAAATATTAAAAATGTTTCAAAGTGTGGATATGCAAATGTGGTTAGTTCCATAGTCCTGAAAAGTGGAAATGTTCATGCGTGATATAGTCCTTGATGAAAGGGAAAGTTCGTGGTTGAAACTCGTCAACGGTGAAATGAATGCGTTGGTGAATGACAAATCTCAGTTCATAAACTCAAATGAAATCACTTGTATAAAGTGATTTGCAACTGGTGCTGTATGGAGAAGAGGCTGAACAAGGCATGCCATTAAGTAAATCCAGAAATTGACGGGAAACCAAATCAAAGTGTGTTGCTAAATAGAATTCACTACGGCGATGTGCCAATGAAAAAGAGCGCCAAAATGTGGTGTGGTTGCTACGTAACCAAACATGATAGATGGTGTTTCTGCAAACAAATGCTAAAAAGATTAATATGCAAAAACAATGAATAAATTAACAAAGCAAAGGGCTGGGTTGCTCAACAGAAAAACAGGATTACTCATCCGGAGAGACAGCAAAGAAACGAAAGAAAAATAGTCACTGCATTTTCCTAAGAGAA